CCCTCGTGCTGCGCATGCGCGCGGGGCGGGTGGGCGGCCCTGCGAATGTTCTCGGCGGGTACCATAGAGAGGGCGCTCCGCCCGGCTGCCTAGAGCGGCCCGCGCTGGCCGCCATTTTCACGCTCTCGCTTCCAGCGAAGGGGCGGCTCGTGCGGGCCTATGTGGGGCGGCCTGGGGAGGCTCTTCGTGGCGCGAGGCCCGGCCCGGCACCTCCTTCCGCGCGCTCTGCCCGCAGGTCAGGCCCGCCCAAGGGGCTGCTGGCCGCACTGAGGTGGCCTCAGGGGCGGTGCACGGCCCGTGGGCGCTGGTGGCTGCGGGAGCCCCGGGCCGCAGGGGCAGCCGCCCCCCGGGCCCTGCCCCCCGTGCACCGCCATGGGCAGCCCCAGCCCTTTGCCTTTGGTCACATCAGTTCTCCGCCCGCGGCGGCCTTCCTAACAATTCTCTCTCTCTGTCATCTTTTCAGCTGAAGAAGCCTTCACCAAGCCCCACGTTACCATGGCCACCCACGCCAAGGATCAGGGGGAGAGAGTGCGTAGAAGATGGGTTCTGTGGGCTGCTGCTGTCGTGCATCCCTGAAAGAGACCTTCTGGTCCCCCTAATAACAGGGCAGTTAAACCATGTGGCTGTTGTGGGGAAAGCAGCAAGTTTTAACATTATAATTGTCAGTTTTCTAGTGGTCCGGTGCTTGTATCAGTGATGGTGGTTTTGTGCATCAGCGCAGCATTCATCCCCTTCAGTAAATGTGTGGGGTTATCTTGCGCTGACGCACCAGAGCGTGCTGGAGGTGTGCCGTAAAGCAGCGGCGCTCTGGTTTGGCTCACATTCCTTCAAACATAATTTTGTGAAGTGAGCTGAGTAGCTGGCCTTGTAGAAAATACAGTCATTGATGTATTCGGTTCATAATCTATACGTACTTGCTTGCAAGTTATCTTAATCTTGACACCCTGTACTGCTTGCTGTACAAGATTGTCTCAGAAGAATTCTGCCATCCACATCTGCACTTGCAAGCTTTTTTATTTTAATTTCTTCACTTTTCTGTTTGCGTTGCTTTTCAGATCAAGAATGTCAAGGGGGACCTTTTCTCGTGCCCCCAGACGGACGCGCTGGCTCACTGCATCAGCGAGGACTGCCGCATGGGTGCGGGCATAGCGGTGGTTTTTAAGAAGAAGTTTGGAGGTGTACAAGAGCTCTTAGATCAACGTGAGTGATGCACCTGATGGACAGGCAGGAGCTGATGGGCAAACCTTGATTTCCAGCAATAAAAGTATTCTAAGCTACTAGGGGCATGGGSGAAATTGGGTAGTAGATTCTAATTATTTTTAAATGTTCTCCTTCTTCTCTTTTTAGAGAAGAAAACTGGGGAGGTGGCAGTTCTCCAGAGAGATGACCGATACATATACTATCTGGTAAGATTTACACGCATCTCAGCTGCTTTCTTGAAACTTAAATATATCAGATTATCAGATGTGATGGCAAGGGCTATAATAGTTGGTGWTTTGGGGGTGTTTTTATGTGTATTTTTATAAACGTTCTAAATAAGTTTGAGGTACATTAAATCTCTCTAGCTGATGAGAAGCCAAGATAACTTGTGTATATGCATTTAGACTTTTAGTTCATGAAACTAGCTGATATATTGCCCCATTTTAATTTATAGATGATAATTCCTATTCTAAGTAATTGTTCAAAGCAGCAAGTCTTGATTTACAGTTTTGAGGTTTAGTGGAATGTGCTTTTCAAAAAGAGAAGTTTGTAGTGCTGATGCCTGAGGCACAATTGACCTTCTTTGTTTGTGCTTAGATTACAAAGGAGAAGGTTTCCCACAAACCAACCTACGAGACTATGCGAAGGAGTTTAGAAGCCATGAAAACRCACTGTCTCAACAATGGAGTTACTGACATTTCCATGCCTAGGTAAGAAAAATAGGTACTGGCATGTAAATACCTCAGTGTTTCTAGGGCAGAAGAATGTTTTAAGAGATGATTCTCTACTATTGAATAAGAATTCAGGTATTCACTTTGATAAAACTCTTCCRTTCAGTTGTGCAAATGGAGTTTGTATTTTTCAGTGAAGTTAAACAATAGCAAAACGTTCAGGCTTGATTAGTTCCACTTTTTAACTGTGTTATGTTGCTTTCTGGTGAACTGAGTAGCTGTTTGAAGGGCTATTTATTTCCAGCATGCTCCAAAAGAGCTCACTGTAGTTGTTTTGGTGTCTGTTTTCCAGGATTGGATGTGGACTTGACGGCCTGGACTGGAATAAAGTTTCAGAAATACTCGGGGAAGTGTTTGAAGACACAGATATTAATATCACAGTTTACACTCTGTGATCAGAACACTGTAAAACCAGCCTTATTTCCCCTGCTCTCAGCCAGGAGCGTCACCTTCTTGGCTGACCGGGGGRAACTGCATGCTGAGCACATTTTTCTTCCAAGCGTAGCTCACTGTTGTATTGTCAGTGGCAGTAGCTTTAAAAAGACAAACAAACCTCAGAGCAGCTAGTTGGGGTTGTAGCACTTAGGGATCCTCTGATGAGGGCAGGGCGGTTTGTGAAGCCCTTGCGGAGTTTGCGACGTGGCCTCGCAAGCCACCAGATGTCACTGGTCCTCCACGGAGCACCTGCGTGCGCGGAGCAGTCCCCGAGCAGAGGGAAGTTGCAGCTCTCTAGCRCTTCACTATGTCTTGGTTTGCTGCTCTGGTTCATAATGACGAACCGTGGAGCCTCCGGGAGTAGACTTTAAAGGTTTGCAGTGTTCATATACAGAATACAGGCTATATACTTGTTCTTTAAAGGGTTAAAACTTATTTTTTTTATCTTCTGGGCATAAATACTTCTTTTTATGAGATTTTCCTTCTAAGAACCATGCTGTCACTATTAAGGAAATAGCTTTTCAGTACTCTGCTGTCAGATCAGAGCACAATCCTGTGGAAAAACCAAAAAAAATACCAATGTTTGTATTTACTGTAGMAGTACTGTAGTGGAAAGTTGGGTTTTGAAGGAGAAAGCTCTAGATCCAGGAAAAATGCCTAGGAGGTGAATTTAATTAACGTACTCTACAGAGCCCCATTTTCTGAGAGTCCTCACGTACRAAGTCCTGCTGTGCTGTAAAATTCATGGGTTTGTTTTCATACTTAATTTTTTACTGCGTTTGTATTTAGCTGCTATGTGTGGGTTGGTGTCTGATCTTACCAAATTGCAGAAGCAAATCAGTAAGCAGCACGTTAAATTGCTCAGACTGTTGGTAAACATTTGGTTCCAGTAGTGCTGGACTGTCATGTACCCTTACTGTCCCTTCTGCTTGATCTGCCACCTCTGCAATAACAAATCTCCTGGCTTCCTTTAGGCAGCACATCCAGAAAGATGCTGGATGCTTCCRGATATGTGGAAAACTGTAACAGATGATGCATAACAGTTAGAGAAGTTGTTAGCATAAAGTGTTTCTAATAATCATTTTCGATAACGTTAGATGAATGGTGTATGGAGCCTTTTGTTTTTCTTTTGCCTGAGCATTGTGGGTGAATATGCATGGTTTGTTTTCTTTGCAAATTCTCTTGGTGTGTTCAGCAGCCTTGTGTTATTTCTCTCCCTGATCATTGACCATCCTTAATTTCTTTGTAATAGAATCCTTAATTTCTCTGTAATCGTGGCAGCCGATTGCTGCAGCAAACACACAATTGTAAAAATAAATAAATTAACTGAGACAAATAGAAGCTTGAGTATTGAGTTAATCAGGGGTGGGCAGCAAGATAGCTTATTTAGTCCTTGTACTTATATTTGTCAGGGATTTTTTTTTTTTTTGTATTGAGTGGCATTTTGTTATCTGCACTGACTCCATGAATGTTCCACTACAACTCTTTATTTTATATATATAGTTTATTTCAACCTGAAACTTTATGCCCGAATTTAGTGATTTAGTGCAGTTGAGTGAGGAAGAGACCAGTGCGGTCGGCAGTTCTGTGTGTGTGTCCGGCACCATTCAGCTTGTGACAGGGAGGCAGAAACCACCGCTGGGGTTTGTTCCTCCAGTCAATCCTTATCTGACTGGGTTCCTTAGCTAATGAGCTTCCCTGTGACCTGTGCTCAGCCTGTGTCTGTGGAAGCTCACGTGCCCGTCTCTGCTTTCCCCGTGTGCCTCCCACACTTGTACACGCTCCTGATGCTTTTTGGCATGTAGTAATTCTCCCTTCTCATCACACTGCGCTTCAGCTATGAAATATTTCATCCGCTGCTGTCCCAGGATGTCTCGCTTGTCAGATTAAATTTAGGACCTCCTTCAAACAGAGAAAACAGAATAAACACTGCTGTGCATTTTTGCAGTGGCTACCAGTTTTATTTCACTCGTTTTGCTTCCCCAGTTTTATATTGCAGACATCTGAGCAAGGGGGGATGATGTTTGATGTATTTTAAATCAAGTACTTGGGTTACCCATATGATGTTCCATCATAATCCCCTGCACTAGAATAAATCAAGTACTCAAGTCTCATTTCTGTTTTCTGGTGATGACAGAATAAATCCTCTTATTCCCTCCTTTTAAATGCCTTTCTATCTAGTATTTTTGAAGTATATACTTTCTAAACGCATTTTTAATTGACAGCTTTGCTCTAAGATCTTTCTCCTACGATTGTCCCAGAATGTGAGACCCACACTTTCCTGTAGATCCACTGCAATTCATTTAATTCAAGGATTCAACCACACAGTATATTGCTCTCTCTTTTCCAATCAGTAGAGGCAGTGCAGGTTTGTTTGGAGGAAGAACAAACAAAAAATCCAAATCCTAAACACCGAAGAGCTGTGTGGTAGATCAGATGCATTTGTAGTCCATAAGGGCCCAGTTTTCCAGGAGCTGATACTGCATCCTGCTGGAGTCAAAGCTTTGGAAAGCTGGAGGAGTGTCCTGGGTGTCTGAGTCTGTCACACGTCACATCTCTTCCTCAGAACCTACTAAGGAAATATCTGTGGAGAGGAAGATAAAAAGCAGCACATTAGAAGCTTTAAATGTTTCCATATCGTGTCACTTAAAATAGGCAATTGACTCTTATTACCTCTTTAAAAAACAAAATCTGTAATGAGGACTGATCTCCTTTAGTGTTTTTAATGGAGGGACAGATTTTGGGAGCAGGGGAGAGGGAGAGTKTCCCCTCTTCTCTACGCTTCTTCCCTGCTTCCACGTGTGGTCCAAGTGCTGTGTATGCAATGAGGCTGTCTTCTTGTATGTAGTAACCCTGTGTTTTAACTTCTTGTTCTTGGAGGTGTTTGCTCTGGGGAAAAAGAACTGATCCCTACAGTGCCTGCGTTGGAAGAGCCCATCCTAGTATTCGTACCCTTCAGAGGCCCTGCTAAGGAGAATTCATGGTTTTCAGGTACTGGCAATTCCAGCCAGGTATCAGGAGTGGCAGGGATTTAGAATTACTCCTCATTGTGCCTATAGCAACCCAAGAATAAAGTGGGGTCTGCAATACTAAGGGAAGGAGCTGGGGAGCAAAGGGAAATCCTCACTCACGTGAACTTCAGTGCAGAATCTCAGCCAGCTTTTCCTCGTAATACTGGAAGTTCTCTTGAATGTCCTCCCACGGCACGAAAGCCTTCGCTTCCTGCCCTTCCTCCTGTTCCACAAAGTTCTGCCACACATACTCAAAGTCTTGAGGCTTCATAATCCTCAGCTTGCAGCCAGCTGCCTTCATTTTTTTCAGGGCAGCCTGCATTTCTGGCTCTTCCCACATGAAGAGGCGTCCCACCATGATGGTCAGGCGCAGGTTCTTGTTCTTCCGCAGGGTCTCGGTGATGCGGTCGGCACAGGCCACGCAAGGACTGGACGAGACGTACCAGGTGATGTTGTAGCGGGAGCTTGAGTCGCACTTGGGCAGGATAGTGTTGAAGAAAGCAATTTCTGCGTGCGCTGCTGCGTGTTCATCTTCCAGATAACCCCGAGAAGTGGCTGACTCTTTGCCTTGGGTCTCCAGGACGTAACACAGGAAGGTTTTGTTCCTACCTGAGCTGTACTCCACGTTCCTGAACTGGAATTTGAAAAAGATAGCGGGGAGGCGCTCCCTGTGGAGAGGGGAGAGGAGAGAAAGGTGTGTTAGTTGTTAGTTCCGTCTTGGTTGGGTTACTCACTGTGTCGTGGCCGTAGGCCTCCATGCATTGAGTGGAGATGCCATCAGCAGTTACAAAAAAAATGACCTCAGCAGTTACAAAATGCACAGCTCCTTCTGCCCTGGTCTGACATCCTAGTCTGTACCACTTATTGTTGACAGACTTTGGGAGTTTCTAGTGTCTGTATTTAGGTATTTGAAGAAGAACTTGCTGCTTAACAGCATTTCTTAAGGCTGTGCTATTTACTGTTTGCAAGATGGGTCAGCAATTGGCTTCCTTCCAGCCTTAATGCACTTGAAGACTGAACTCTCCCTCTACTATTTTCTAGGCTGTTACCACCGTTCTGCCACTATGWTGCACTGTTAATTTGCAGGATCTGTTGTTGGAAATTGCGAGGATGGTAACTCTGGCACTGCCAGTTTATGTTACCTCAGTGCTTTTGCAATCTCCATTTCCTCTGGGTAGAGAGGCATGTGTGACTGACTGTTCGTAGCATGTGTGTGTTCTGGCTTTATTGTTCTACTATCAATGGAATACTAATATTTAGTGTAACTGTGTCATGGCTTTGGGTTAATGTAAGTATCTGAGATCAGATCTAGCTCTGCTGTGAACAAATGTATTTCTGAGTGGATTTTGGTTGTTGTCTCATCGACACTACTGACAAATTTTGGTCACTTGGGCATTTCTAAATTAACATTTAAACCCTGTTGTTGTTAATGACCTTTTTACAGGCCTCTTTCACCTGAACAAGGTAGTCTGCTGTTTCTAGGGAAGTTAAAATTAGTTCCTTAAAATACTGTGTATGGTTCCTAGGGTGGAGTGAAGAGGTGACAGAGAGCTGCCTCAGAGCATAGCACCCATTTCTCTTCAACAGAGTGCCAGGCCTTGCTGCTTGTGCCACGTAGCATCCAGCTGTGGAGTTCCCCAGTGCAGGAGCTCGTGCTTGAGGATGTCAGGGTGAAGCGTGAGAAACACACTGCTGCTCAAGTGCCAGAGACTGGATACGGCTATAAAGGATGGAGATGAAGAGAGCACGGAGTAGCCAAACCAAAGGGAAGTAATGAAACGCCAAAACACAACATTTCATTTATTACATGCTGATAATCTGCTGGCGTGTTGTATTTTCCTCATCTGAGCTTTAAGTGGACCTATAACCTTGATATTCCCAGCGAGGCAATAATGAATCTTTGTAAAACAGTGAGTGCCTCATTCATCCCTGTCTCATCTACAGTCAGATGCTAATGTCAGGCGTCTCCGGGGGGCCCACGGAGCAGAGGTTGGGAGCGAATCTCCGGCTGTGCAAATGTTAATTGGGGAGAGCAGCGAGGCTGGCGGCAGAGGCTCGTTCTGCTGAGAGAAGGGTAATTTGAACTGCACCGTCTCACAAGGTGTCTCCGGAGGCAGCGGGAGCGCGTGGTGGGGAAGGCAGTGCACAGACTGCAGAGCCAGGACGTGGCGCTCGCTTCGTGGTCTGGGAACAGCAAGCGAATGGGCTGCTCTGTTTGCTAGCGGCAAGTCCTGTTTCGGGTCACAGTGAAAGCGCTTCAGTGGCTGCAGGTCAGAACAAGGACAGTACGTGGAGGGCTGGATCTTATGCCTTTTAAAATTGATAGATGTCTTCCTATAGATTGCAATAAAGAAGGCCTTGCTAGGACTGTGTAAAATGTCCTGAATAGCCTGATATTCTGTGCAAATCAGGATGGGGGGCCTCAACAGAAAGGGTGGTGTAGGGAACAGTCACTTGGAAGTTCTTCACTCATTTCTGGTTGTATCACATTATATCCTGCAAACAAATGGCTTTTTACATAGAAAGGAATTGACAACATGTGCTTTCTAAATACATCATTTGGAATAAATTGCAGCTATCTTCAAGCTGGTTCTGTGGTGTTATTTTAAAAGTTTAAATACATTTTTCCATAAATGTTTAATTCCACTTACAAAGTGTCAGGAATACCTCATGGCTATGTGCGTGTGCACCAYTCCTGCCTTTGTAATGCAGCCAGAAATGTTCTGGTTGCCAAAGTTCTGTGGCGTTTCCGGCTTCCAAATAAGCTAAAACATAAAAGAACATCCTCCCCATTTAATTTTTATGATACTACAGTAGTATCGAGGGGTGCATTTGTGCATGTTGCAAAGATTCACAGTAAAAGGCCTGGAGCTACAGTTCACACTCCTGGCATGGATTTCCCAGCAGTGTGATTCCAGCTTCACTTGGAGCGTCAGGGCTCTGCACCAGCCAACTGCTGAGGGTGCCGATGGGGCGGGGCTGGCCAAGCCCTGCTCTGCACTGAGGCACAGAGATCATTAGTCTTAACCCAGGTAACGGCAGGATGCGCTGGCGCACACAAATTCTGAACTACCCAGCAAGCCTACTTTTAAGGCTCCCTCCTTAGCATTTTGACCTCTCATCATGCACTTCAGATGACTTAAGTTACCTTTTAAGAGCTTGTCCCTTTTTCTTTTAGATGAATTATGAAATTTCTCCAGATTTCCTTGAAGAGCATGGCCACGCTGTAATTTAGCATAGTGTCACTTTTCCCTGAAATTACTTTAAAGTAACATTCAAGTGCAGAACATCAGAGTCATGGGCAGGCTCATTCCCAATTGAACTCTCTTGACTGCAAAGCAGTTACATTAGTGAGGAGGTTGCRTGCACTTAAACATGAGTGAGCTGAACCAGACTGTGTTGTCTCAAAGGTACCTTTGGTCAGGCCTCGTGGACAGATCTCACTGCTTATCATCTAGACATCTGTCTAAGAGTATTTGGGACATTCACCTAAATGTGTCTGAGCGACATGGAAGATGCATCAGTTCGATTAATAAGTTTGCAGTAAAGAAGAGCAGCATAGCTCAGAGCTCTTTTCAAGCCTTGGAAGCTTTGCTGATCCTGTCTGTGTGAGGCAAGCAATGAGCAGCACGAACTAGTGCATTGTAGAGTTCATCTCAATGGAATTGCACTAATGTTAGCAGGAGCCAAGGATTTACCACTCCTCGAAGGAGCCTCATTTACACCCCCAGAGATGTATGAATAAATGGGGGAGATGTGGGCAAATGTGTCCCATTAAATGCCATGAGATTTGCACAACCTGAGGTTTTGTTTATCCAGGGCTGAGTTGAATCAAATAATGACAAAAAAAAGAGGGAGGTTAATAAACAGGGTGATTAGGTTCCCAGTGTTCTTTTTTATAAGCCACACTCCCTCGAGCCATAAGCAACAGGTTGAAAACTTGGCTGAGTGTCATAAAATGCTCCTAATCCAAGGGTTGAAACTGCAATGCTTGAGTAGTACACAGTGTAATTGAATTTAAGTGCTTGGACAGTTGGAATTAATGTGTTTTCTCATAATTCACATAACTGGCTTAATTGGCTGAAAATCTGTAAATAATTAGAAAATCCAAACAGTGATTACACTAGGTCGAGTCTGTAGTCACAGGGTACTTATTATAATGAAGTAAAAATTGCAGGATTTTTCTGTACCTCTTGAGTGGTCCTTTGGTATTTCTGCTCTACTTCCTCCCTTCTCGCCTTCTGCAGCTGGCATTTCAGTAACAAACTAGTCATTAGGGGAGAGTTAGTCCTGATTCCTCCAGGAGTGCAGGTATTTGCAAGCAGTTTCCAAATAGATGTGATGAGCCAGTGTAAATACCCACATGCTGACAGCTCTGTGGAGCCTCAGCACAATATCCCCAAACTTGCATTTCAGAACCTCAGCTGCCCTTGGTGCAGAACCCTTCACCTTCTCCCTGTTGCCTTTGCAGGGTGGAAGGTCCTGGCAAGTTCTACAAGATCTCAAATTTCAACAAATAATTGAAGGAAGATACTAAGAAAGTTCTTCTCATGCAGGATTAGCACGCCAAATCCTGTCTGGTGATCTCTGAGGTTAGTAAGGAAGTTTGAAGATACTCCCCAGTTCCTTTGCAGTTCTCTTAGTAAGCTGAATTCTCCAAAACTGAAAAATATTCTTTCCTCACTGAGAGGAAATTCAGTTCATTCAGTACATGTCTAAATGGCTAGAAGCTGTCACCGTGCGTATTTTTGGTCCAATGGCTAATATAAATGATTTGGGGGATCTYAGCTCAGCTCCTAGCAGAGGGAGTGCTTTTCTTGAAGTCCCTGCTCCAGCAGGCATGTAATATTTCCATGACTGTCTATGGCAGATACAGAGCAAAAGCTGTGAACAGTCTCACCCCAAGAGATTTTCAGAACAGACACATATTAAGAAGAAAACTCTTTTGTCATCCCTGCCCAAGGAAGTCATCCGCTCGTGYGAGAGAGGAGACGGAGGTGCCGTCYTGCCTCGTGCATCCTTCTCRGATTGGCCTGCTAAGTTCTTTGCAAGTATCTGTCTTACTGGTGACAGTGTCACAGGCAGAAAGCTTCCAAGTGGGATTTAAGAGCCTGGCCTGAGGTTTACATCAAAGGCAGCTAGAAAAAAAAACCCCACGTTTCTGCTCTAGGAGCTGGGAACATTCCCTTGGTGACTACTGAGGGAGAGCAGAGGGAAGAATTACACAGGGCATTTTGATGCTACTACAAGGAGAATTGTGAAGTGCTTAGAGATAGTAGATTACCTTTCTTCTTCTTTTTTTTTGCAGCTTTCTATCATGTGTTATTAGTACACATTCCCTTGTCTGTTGACTATTTATTAAAAGTAATCCTGTTATCAATATTATAGGATTTCATAAGGAACCTTTTAGGCAGGGTATTGCAGGAGGATTAAGAATTCACAAATGGGGCCAGATTTCTGACGGTTCAGATCTCGATCCGTCCTATCTGCCCCTCTCAAAGGCCAGGCTTGGCGGAGCAGAGAGAGCTGCTTTGCAAGTCTGGAAAATTGTCTCTTGTTTTGGTGCCTTTATGTGTATTAGGCTCCTTTGAAAGTCAGGATCCAGCTGTGATTGTGGAGCCCTTGAAAATGTGGAGTTTTATCTCCCTTGAAAAATCTGCCACTTAGGCCCATAAGCCAAAACAGCCATAGCAGGGGTGTTTTTTCTAATCCACAGACAGAGAAGCTTTCAGAGGAGAGCCATTGATTACTGCAAGAATCAATACCTCYGTGTTGCTGAGGGGCCCGTTTCTCCTCTCCCGGCATTACCAGGCAGGCGATCCCGCCACGGACAGGCGGAATGCAGGGGAATCGGGACAAGGAAGCAGAGCTGCTCGCAGAGAGCCCAGCGCCCTGGCTGGGTGCTGGGAGCCCCTCCTGGACAAACGCAGCAGAGCTTCTAACGCYGGCCCACGGGAACTTAGCCCCACGCTCAGCACTATTTACAAATACCCAGAATTGCCCCATGTTATGTCTTCACCTTTGATTACCCGACATCAGAGCTGAGGCAGAGACCTTAGGAGATCTCCACCTCGGTCTTTATATCCCTCGTTATATGCAAACCTCTTACCCTGTCACAATTTCGAATGGTGGCAGATCTTCCCGCTTCACCTTCTTCTTCTTCTTGTCCTCRCCCTCTTCTGCGTTGTCAGGTTCTCCGTTCTGGGCATTGCTGGGCTCCTGCTTTTCTGCCATCTTCTGCGGTATGGGAATACTCACTTATTGGCAGTGGGAAAACAAGCACTTTCTGAGAGCTCTCCGGGAGAGGAGGCAGCAGTGGCGGGAGGGAAAAGCCAGAGCTGGGAGTTCCTGCACTCGACGCAGTTGYTGGGAGCTAAATATGGAACAAAGCAGCAGGGAGAGCCTCGCTGGGGTGGGATGGCCTCACGCTCTCGGGTGTCRCCTCCTCGCCTTGCTTTTGCCAGCTCTTTTGAACGCTGCTTCTTGCTCCCCTTTTAATTTAAAATTAAGTGACGATTTCGCTGTGGGCGGGTTAAGCAATAGATGGAAAATCCTGGAAGCCCAAGGATCTATTTATCCATTAGTGTGACAGATAGCTGGCAAGGTGCACAGCTGGGAGCTTCTTCATCTGCCCGTTTATTACACTGCTGACCTTGAAGGACACTCTTTGGGCTGGGCAGGGATGTTCCTCACTTGCCTGGCTGAACCCCCCATCACAGGTGGATTGGGCCAAGCTCAATCCCAATGGGGCTGCCTGGAGCTTTGCAGCAGTGGAGCAGGAAACCYGCTTTTCCTTCCACCCTGCTCTTCCTCGAGGGGCCCGCTGAACCCAGGGCTCGGACAGCGTGAAATCCTGGCCTTGCTGAAGGCAGTGCCACTGACCCTATCGAGATAAAGGCAAGCCAGAACCTTTTCCCAAGTATTTTCAGCTAGGTTTATAATTCACAGAGGGGCAGTATTTCTGGCGCAGGGCTATTCCCAGCAGAGAGAAGGGCGTTTGCAGAATGCTCTGTTTCAGGACCGTTGCAGTATTTCTTTGGTTCTTTCACCGTTGCTGTCGCCAGGGCTGCGGCGAGGCCGGAGACCCGGAARGCTGGGAAGCGGCAGGAGGGGTGCGTGGACCCGACCGTTCCGTGGCAGCGGCTGGGACCGGCTGTGCAACGTGCCAGGGCGCTGGACGCTCTGCTCAGCTGCTCGCTGTGGCTGCGCGACCCTCCGGGAGGCTGCGCAGGTTTCATCGGCGCGAGGCCGCGATGTCGGCTGCGCTCCGCGCTCAGGCAGGCAAACCTCTCCAGGGGCCCCGGTACCTTGGGAGGGTACGGGGGATCCGTTTGGGTTTCACGTTGGTGCTAAAAGACAGGTTTATATGCTTTGGGTTTGGGGGGTTGTAGCCAGGATTAGGTGAAATCTTTCCCATTCCTCACTCCAAATTTCAGTCACTTACAGAGAAAATTCATATAAAGCCCACGTGAGCCAAGCTTTATGAAAACCCAAGTAAGATTTTTCTCAGAGACTAATCCTGTTATGTCATTAGGGTGAAATAAATGGAAAGTGTGTAGCCATGCAGAACCCGTGTCTTAGCCAAAGCGTATTGGAAAYCAAACCTCGAATACCTTGGGCTCTGCACTCATCTCAGAACCCATGATCATCAAGGTTTGGATAAATACGAAATACTCRGCTGTGTTTGATTAAGTGTTCAGTCCGCACGCATGGGAAGACCTGCTTGTTAGGTGGAGGAAGGTAGATTCTCCTAGAAACCAGAGGAGAGATCCCTGCTCTCAGACAAAACTCAGTCTTTATGATAGCATTGTAGCCAGCTCGTCTGCATTCTTAGAGTGGTCTGCACCAAACAAACTTGTACCACTTGGCAGAAATTTTATTTTCTGGCTGCTTCTCTAGCCCTTTTGCTACAGCAGCACCCCTCCTTTTCCGCGTTTCTCCGGGAATCACGACCCTCCTCGCAGCTTTCTGTTAGCAGGATCGCTGAGTGCGCTTGTTCTGGGGACGGAGCGCGCCACTCACCCTCCCTCCCACACTGTTTGCTAGCGATGAGAGGTTGTTTACGTGATGATTGACACAGCTGACACCGGGAGTATTGTGACAACAGTGCCGGCRAGGATTTGACAAGTTCCAAGACACCCTATCCCTGGAACATAAAACTTTTCTTTTCATGTTGCAGGATTATATTTATTTTTAAGCTCAAAATGCTTTTCCTGGATTGCAGGTGTAGTGTTTTCCCTGTTGCGTGGTGACTCTGCTCACATTCCCTCTCCCATGTCCAATTACTTTCACCTTTGACATTTCTGGCAGTGATGTTGGAGATGGGAATCCTCTCTTAATGAGTGGTGGTTTGTCTCCGTCTTCCCCTAAACCTTAAAGAAGGCAGAGCGGCCCCTCGACAGGCTCTCCGCGCCCCTTCTCTCTATTTTTGGAAGCTCTTGGCTGCCGCTGCCCCGTCTTTCTGCCGCCTTTGGCTTTCGCCGCCTGGCCCCTCCGCGGAGCTCAGTGCCGAGCTCTAATCTAATCTGGGGAATGTGGCCGCGGCCGCTGCCCCTGCCCGGCCGCTACCCAGCTGCTCGCAGCTCCATCTAGGGCAGTGCACTAAATAGTCGTGATTCACCCCCCTGCAGCGCCGGCCCGCGCCAAAAATATAAAGGGAGCCACAGAGCCGCTGTCAGTCTGACATTTTGCGTTAGCCGCGGGGCCGAAAGCCTTGATCGATTCTGCTCAAGTTGTTTGTACGTGACCCCAGTTCCCCCCAGTGGGTGCATGTGAAGGGTGTGCACGCACGGGCCTAACGACTAAGCCACTAATGGAATTTTTTTTTCCTGTGAGCTAGTTCAGAGARAAAGCAGGTGTGGGTGCAGAGAGGTGCCAGAGATGCAACTAGCCCCGCATAAGGACGTCCCGGTGGTACTTACCTTAACCAAAGCCATTGCACTTGCCGGTCAGCGTTTGCATTGAGGCAAACTTCCGCCCTGCCCCTCTTCCCGCTGATTCTGTGTTTTATTTAGTTGGGCGTGAATTTCGCGCTGCTCCGAGGGCCCTGCCCAGCGGGATCCGTGCAGGAACAGAGGAGGCGCCGAGGCCCGCGTGGATGTCGGGGCCCGTATGCGGAGCGCCAGCCGGGCCGGTTGCCTCTGCCGCCTGTTCCCACACGGCAGGGCTGGAACCATCCCCGCCACACGGCGGCACCCTGCGCCGCTCCCGCCCGGAGCTCCGGCCTCTTCCCAGCAGGGATCCTGCCGGCAAATGGCAGCCTGTGCGGGAAGGTCCGTCTGCCTTTGGAGGCCTCCTGGGTATTACAGCGTGATCCCGCATCCTAGTCTAGAAGAGGTTTAGGATGTTTTTTTATTTATTTTTATTTTCCCCATTGACTTTAGAGGCATCTTGAAACAATCCGGTGACTTTTCKCCTGTCTTAAGTGAGTATCTCACGTAGCAAGTTCGCTGCTGCAGCTYGCTCCCTTGGTGTGTCTGCAGCCCGGTCCCGTCCCAGCTGCAGCAGCTCCCTGCCTCCCTGCCGGGCCGTGGCCCTGTCCTGGTGGCAGAGGGGCGGCAGAAGGGACGGGGCTGCAGAAGCCCTTGCTGGGCAGGGAGCCTTTACTGCACCCTTGGGCCGGAGGAACATTTTCGGATCGAGCCAAGAGTGAAACAAGATGCTGGCTGCGTGAGTCACGGCTCAGACGTGCTCTCTATTCCGAGGGGACAGCTGGTGGCACTAACAAAACATCTCCCTAGATACATTGTCTGGCAGCGATCCCCCTCCTGCTTTTTCCAGCTGTAACTACCGCTACGTGATAAATAAATAAACACTCTCTGACAGTGATGTGCAGAGGCAGCTTCCCCTGCAGGCCCTTCTCCCCCTCCCATCCCACTGCAGGGCCGAAATGCCAAGATTTTTGGGGAAGAAAGCACAGGTTTCCGGCCATGCAGAACCCTGCAGGTTTGTCCCGCTGGCCGYGTGTCGCCTGCAGTGCTGGGCGCTTTTCCTGGGTGCGCGGGGGCTTGGAGCTGCCCTCGGAGCTGCCRTCCCCCCTTCCCTCCTCCTCGTCGCACTGGGGTGCCCCGCGCCGCCCGCGCTCTGCGCCCTGCCCCGCGGCGCTGCCTTGAGCGCGGCTCCCCGCGCGCAGCAGCCCCGGCACAGCTCCTCGCCTTGGAGCCGCGGGGCCCAACCAGCTGCCCAGTTATTGCATGACACTCGGGAGAGGCAGCGGGCTGCAAGTCAGGGCGCTTTTGTTGGTACACAAATATTGTGTTTCCAGCAGCCAGGGGCTGTGCCCAGAGATCAGGTGTCCAGCCGGTTTCGCATCGGGTGAGGAGAGGGGTCGTTGCTGGACACGGAGACCTGAGAGGTGCCCGTCCCTCTGAATGCCACCACCCCATGGTCACTGTCCCCACAGCACAGCCTTGGYGTGAGGCCCTGCCCCACAGGACCCTCGGGGCTGGGCCGGCCCAAACAGGGTCAACGGTCCTTAATTTTATGTACGGGGCGAAGCAAAACCTGTGCGGCAGCTCTGCCAGCTTAGGGAATTTTCACAGTGCTCCTGGATCCAGCGGGAAAAAGGCAGGATCTGCGGGAAGGGCCGWGTGGCCACATGCCTCCTGCAGCCGGACTGGCACGGGGAGCAAAGGCCCTTTCGTGGCATTGCGCAGAGCATTGCGCTGCCTTTGCTCTGCACCGCCCAGAACATCAGRAATCTCCTAGGTGGCTGACTGTGAAACGCTGTTAAAGTTATTTTCATGCAAGGAGATTTAGTGTGTCTGTTTAAAAGCAAGTGTACTAAGCAGTGCTTTAAATATTAATACAAGAGAATGCTTTGCAAGATTTTAAATTTGTCAATTGATTTTAGGCTCTTGCCTATTTGCATGTTCTGCTTAGGAACATGGAGCAAAGAAAACTTTCGGTGGATTCAGAGGTGGATTGGAAGGAAGAGGAACTGAAATGATGACAAGAGCAAGTGAGCTGGTCACACTGCTTGGAAAAATGGGAAGGYGGGGGGGTAAGCATGAAAAATAATAAAAAAAAAMMCTGTTATTCTTAAAACAAAGTTTTACTTTACCTGGCTGAAAAAAATGGGAGCAAGCAAAGAGAGGAGGAATTTATGAAAGCTCTTCCCAGTGACTATATTATCTATTTTGGAAATGTTATTAAAATGTTGCTGGCTTTAATGAGATCTAGAGCCCCTTACCACGCGTAATGTGATTAGAGACGTCCTTCCCGCTCGGCAGCAGAGCCGGGTACAGCCGGCCCCGCTGCCGTGCCCAGGCCTGGCCGCGCCGCACGGGGAAGGACTCGGCCGAGGGGGATGCCCAGAGTCCTTCTTAGCTCCCCGTGACTGCATCTGCGGGGCAGGCACTGGTTTCCTGTCAAAAAGAGACAATTTGTGTCTTCCAGTACTTTGACCTCCAGCTCCCTTGAAGATATAGACTAGCATTGCTGTAAATAAGCACAGTGATAACACACAGCTACATAAAGCCCTGAGATAGAGGCGGGTGTTTTTAAGTAGCTTATGATCTTTCTAGTGCTGCTTTATAGCCTATTCCTGCTTGCAGTCCCATCTATCCAGTGGCCTCTCCTCATGTATCTTTACTTGCGTTGTGCTCATGCAACACCCATCCTGAATACAGGTGTCCTGCAGCCAGAGGGGAAAAATAGTGGATGGGATCAAAATGGTGAAACAAGGTAAATGCCAAAGTAGTAAAGCAAGAATAACTTGGTTTATTTATTTTCAAAGCAAAACCATCTTTTATTAAAAGTAAGCACTATTTATTTTACATCCCCAGCTAAGCCTCCTCCCCCTCACCCCCCTTCCCAAATACCCCTTTCCCCACCCAGCTTCATCTACAGGCAGCTGCCAGGAAGAAGATCTTCCTRGAAGACTTTCATCACGTACACTGCTTCTATCAATTGAAAAATAATAGTAGTAAATATTCCCCAAGAGGCAGCAACTTTTAAGTTTCAGGTCTATCAAGCACAAGGGCCGGAATAAAGGAGGGACAGGAGCTGGTGCATTCACCTTTTGTGTCTGATTCTATATCACGGGCTGAATAATTGTATAGTTGAATAACATGTATAGTTTAATCTTTCCTGATTAATTCCGGAGTGCCTGATTAATCTTTAGGAATGGAAAGACTCTGGGTACGATGCTGTATCGCACCTGACAGATTTTGAATGGGACCTTTGGGCAATCATGTCATTACAACCTTCAAGGCAATGTGAGCAAGCTTTTAATTTTACAAAACGCCTGTGTTTCAGTACTTAAAAAAAATATGTTAAGTATTTTTCAGAGGCACTGATGTTAGTTTTTCTGCTCTGGTGAGGAACAGCGCACAGAGGTATGAGAGAGAAATTTCCTCTTGGGACAAGCATTTGCATTCCAATCACTGTTGCTTTATCCTGGAGCAGGGAACGTGAGAAGCGCGATACTCCCCAAATAGAAGTGGAAGTGCCGAGTCTCCTCGGACRGGCAGAACAAGACAGATTACTGCTTGCTCAGAGCCTGTCAGATAAAAAGGTTACGGTAAAAAGTGCAGACCAGAGGAGACATGAAAATGAAGCAATGGCAAGAACAGCAAAGGGAATAAAAAAAAAACAATTTAAAAATTAGCTTGCATGAGTGAAGGGCATCTTTGCTTCACCTCAGGAGAAGAGAGAGGATCTACATGTGTATGAACAAGTGCTGCCCTCCTGGGGACTGGTAGCAATTCAGAGTGGTTTCACGGATTCCAGCATTGCCATTCTGAATTACACTGGTATAGGAGATGCACTTTTAGCTGGTGGAATTTGACATTGTACCGCTAAGGTCACCATACAACTGTAGCCCCAAAGCCTCTGCAGTGCTGGGAGAGAAGGTTCCCTGGTTAAATGCCATGTGTGGTTACCTTAAAGGAACGCACGGGTGCGTGGTGCAAACTTTCTTGCACGCAACCTTGATGAAGGGGTGAGATGGAGACCTATTCTGATGCCCGTCTTAAAGTGAGTCCCCCCGCCGAGTACTAGATCTTGCTTCACATCAATATTTAATTTCACAAAACGCCTTCATTTCTCTCCAGCTCTTATTCCGTCTTTCCCGGCTTTGCCTCGGGGTTGTCCTTCCAGATGCGGATGGTGAGACACGTCGCCATGGCCAGCCAGCCCAGGTAGGGCACCATGAGCAGCGTCGCGGCCTTGTTAATGCGGTACCACGAGCACATCGTGCCTATCACCAGGCCGTCCAAGCACAGAATGTCGATCAGGGCCTGGAAGCAGAGAGGAGGGAATCACTCGCTTGCTCACTCCCGGGGTGAGAGCAGAAGCACTCCTAGAAGCAGTGGGGTAAAACAGTACACAGGCAAATTTAGCACTGAAAAGGCACCCTGGCTGGTCCTAAACCCCAGAACCTTGGCTCTGAACTCCCAGCAGTGAGATCTGAATGCGTCACAGCAGGAGCCAAGGCCAATGTTAATCCTTGCTGTTGAGTTCCTTGGGTTAATAGATGATTCATGATGATCAGCAGCCCCTTCTATGGACACCACCTATGTACACACATCAGCAGCATGCTCATGATGGTACAAGCAGCTATTTTCACTTCAGACTTACTAATGCACCTTTCATGCAAAGAATGGCAAAATGCAGGTAGCCCTACTGCGTCTCCATGATCGCCAGGCCTGGACACCCGAGCTAAGATCTCCTGAACACCCTATGAGTGCTCGACTCTGCTCCGGGGCGTCCTCCCCGTGACACATTGCATTGGGCACATTGTGTTGCGTTGCCTGATAAGCCACTCGTAGCTGGCACGCCCCTACAGAGACACTGACTTTGCTGCTTGCTAGAGGGTGTGACTTGCAGAGGGGCTTATCTCTAGCCCYGAATCCTTAACTAGGAGAGGCAGCAGCCGGGCTACTGGCTCTGCGATCTGCCGCCCTGCTGTAGCAGAGCCAGCCAGCCAAGCGACAAGAACTGCRGGAGAAATGCAGGGCACTGATACCATTGTCTAGACCAGGTGCAGTGTGAGCTGTATCTGAGAAAAGCCCTTCTTGCTGCTCTCTTTACACTTTTGTATTTTATAATGCTGCTTAGAAACCCTCCAAACAAACCCCAGAGCAGAGGCAGGGACACCGGCAAACCAGTCTCCAACAGGTGAATATACGTCTAGGTACGTTACCATCTTCAAGTTACGTATTCCGAAGAAGAAGGGAGGCCAAGCCCAGTTCAAGGCCAGCTGAGCCCCATAGAGGCCGAGCGGGACRATGGCTTTGCTGTTGCAGCCACCCAGATCATTCCAGATCAGGTAAGAGGCATAGCTGTGGAGAGGAAAACCCACATCAGTGTCTGCCAGTCAGTTCTGCTTCCAGAGGCTGGGATTATTGCARTTTTATATCAAAGGGCATTTTTCATCTCTTTTGAACCAAGACAACTCTAAGAATGTACCTACAATGCTTGTAAACCTCCAGTACAAGTACTGTTTTTATGGAAAAGTGTCTTGCAAAGTGGGTTTGCACAAGAGTTTTATTTGCATGGAAGTCAACTGCACCCCTGTCCCTCACTATGCTCAGACCCGTGGTTTCTGTCATACTGTATGGCCCACATTTCCCCCATGGCAGTGACTGCTCTAAATATGTGTTCACAGTGAAATGTGAAGAACGGCCCAGAAAGAGGCTCGGGCTGCACTTAATCTTCTGGGAATAAGTCTTCCTACCATGTCTTGCTGGTGCAAGGAAAAGGAATATCCCACAATCCCTGTGAACGAGTGAAGAGCCTGAAATGACTTCTCTGTTAGCGATCAAAACAAGCAGCACAAGGGACAGAGGGCTGTGCAGAACTTACCCCATGCCAGTGTACAGGACAGTCCAAGCAACAGGGAATATTTTGCGGGATGGGCACCAGGAGGGTTTCTTCAGCCTCTCGTACCACACAGGCATGTCCTTGCGATTGATGAACCAGCCAAGGAATCCCCCAACATGAGGCAGGACAGTAAAACCGACCGTGTATGCCCACATCCTTCTYTGGGGAGTTGTAGTAGTCTTTTGCCTGTTGTAAATTAAAACCTAGAATYGATCATCACTTAGGAAGAACATTTCTTCCCACCTTGATCTTTCAGGCTATCTCACTAATTGCCTATATATCACTTTAGTGGCTAAGCCACTAACACTAGTTTAAGTGTTCAAAATTGTATTCAGCTCTGCCACAGACTCCCCTCTGTCCATTTGCCAGCCTGTGACATAGAGGAAATTATTTTTGCCATGATTATGTTTTCGGTCTGCTAAGCAAACTGGCTCCTACCTGCTACTTTATAGTTTCTTATAGTGTGTATGTGACAGGGTTCACCTAAGGTGGTTATATCCTTCGAAGACAAGACTGCAGTTGCTTTTATCATTCTGCTTCTGAATGTATAAGTCAGTGTACAAACTTTAATGTACATTTGTGGAAGCTGCACATCTCAGCCGAGCTGTTATCTCTCCTCTGCATGCTCCTCTGAGGAGGGAAAATTCAGGCACCCCACACTATTCTGGCTGCAGCTAATTTTTCACCATGGATTTATATTTTAAATGAGATCTGCACTAAGACAATTTTTTTTTCACCAAATTTTGAGTGATCTATGAACCCTGTTTAATCCTCTCTGCATCCTAGCATGCAGAGAGGATYCTTACTTCTGTATCACAAATGGGTAAGCTGAGACACACCGGCAGTTTTTTGACTTGCTCAGTCTTACAACTTCATTGCATAAAAGGAAGAAACATTTACTTTAATAATAACATTACGCTCCCTCACAAGCCAGCCTGTGATAACATCTAGCATTTCATTCTGTCCCATGTCTTCCCGTGCCATCATCAATAGGCTTCTGAACCTATTAGTGTTGTGCCCTTCCTCCATCTGCCACTATCTTGGCTTTCCCTTTTGATCCAGTCATGAACTAAAGCTGAATTAGCATTCATCTGGGATAGCAGGCAGGATGCTTCAGGAGTGCAGCAGTTCTGTGCTTGCTGTCAGCATCAGTCCTAAAAGCACCTGAGCAAATGCAATAGGGAAAGATTGTTGTTTTTAGCAGTGCAAGAGCAGAGAAGCAGCCTCAGAAAATTCCCTTATCCTGAGAAATGTCCCCGGGATCTGGTGCTCTGAATGCTGGTCAGAGAAGCGGAGAGCAGGAGGAAAGAGCCAATCTGCATAGTCAATTCTATTTGGGATTTTAATTCACAGTTAACACATTACTATATCCTGTGCTAATTATTATTATTATTATCATCACGCTACAAAGCATTCTGCTTTAGAAACACCCACCAGCAGTGCAAGCCAATTTACACATCAATAAGGGACAAATACTCCAGACAGCATCCCTAACAACGCCTTTACCAGACAACTCATAGTACTATTAAAGTGTCTGTGGCACCAGAAAATCCAGCCAACGCTGAGCAAAATAATAGCTGCTAGTTCTGTATTTAAAATGTAATCCAGCATTGTAATATTGCATCTATAGAAAAGTAAAATGGAAAAAGTAGACTGTTTGTCCCCTCCCCACTCCTTTGTAGTTGCCAGACTAGCCTGATAGAGGCTGCAGAAGTAACTACAGGTTGAAAATACATTATGATAATACCTTGTTTTGGCTCGCTGCTGTTATAACTGACAGGGTTTGAGCTATAAAAACCTTACCGTCTCTTACTGCCTTCCCCTCTCTTGCAAAGAAAATGGATTGGATTTCCAAGGCCAGCTCCTGTCTCTAATGGTGGTGCTTCTATACAGTGAAGAAATCGTCAGCTGAGTTTTACCTAAATAGCAGGAAAAAAAGGGTGTGTGTGTGTGTGGCTCCATCAGATTACACAACAGAGCCCACAAGAATTGCAGGGGATCTTCTGGTGGAGGTTGAGTAACTGTCTGCAGAGGGTGGATCCAGCTCAAAGCGCGCGGAAAAGGCACTGCCTCTTGCCCTGCTTTGCTCCCCAGTGTCTGGCTTGTCCACAGGACAAGGGGTGGCTGCAGCACCCCGTTACCTGACTGCATCCCCTGCGCCTTGTGCCACACAGCCCTCCTTAACGGGCGCTTTCRGGGCTCCCTTTTGGCTAAAATCACTGGAAACCGCTAGAATCTGAAATAAAGATGTTACATGGGCCTGTTAAATGGAAAAGGAAAAAGCTAGAAATCAATTTCCATTAGTAAGCTGTCGGCAAGGAATGGGGAATTAAACACTAATTTACTTCAGTTATGGGTCATTACCTGAATTTCATGGCCAAAGGCAGGATTGCTGATTCCTAGCAGAACATAATATTACAGTTATAACATAGAACCAATGAGATCTTTTACTTTATTGTACTCAGAAGAAAATGATTGTTTTGTGGGAGGACAGAGACGAAAAACTATGTAAAGGGCCAGATTTTCAGTCACCATAAAATCAATGTACTGCTATCGAGATGGTGTGTTTTTATAGTGTAATTGCCACTTTGGAACAACAGATGCAACACACATTAATCAAGCAGTAGCCACCTGCATAGCCTTGCAGGGTCTGTTGCTATTTGCAATTAGAAACTTCTGTCATGCAACAGTGCATGTGGCTGTCACAGAGCGGGTCCTGCTCACTGCTGCCTGTCCACTGAAGCAGCAATCGTGCGGATTGCTGGTGAATATTCTCTTCCCGAGGCCTCGGCCTCTTTGTCAGAAAGCAAGCAATTCAGTAGGTTTTAGCGGGTAGGACTTCCTTGGAGTGCAAAATCATGACTACTCAGTACAACTTGTTTGCCATATCRCAGGGAATTTTCTGGGTGCTTTGGAATTTAATATGCTGGATGAATTAAAAATTAAGGGTCAAATCCTAAGATTTCACCTTGTAAACTGGTGGAATTGGGAATGATGTTTCCTGAGTGGGGAACAGCAAGTGCAAGGAGGAAAAAATTAACAGAGACCGTTCCAGGCCTAACAGCCAGTATCAGCCTGGCTTGAGCTTGAGCTTTACAGCAAAGGAAGAGACAACTGTTGACATGGAGGTACGGGGCAAAACGGAGTGATACTCGCCGAGGTAGGTCACAGCAGACTGACTTTGGTCATTGCTTGGACAATGTCTGTTTTCTAAACGAGGACACGTACACATTATWCATCTCTTGTCTGGATTTCTGCCTYGCATCTCAGATGATGCTCATTAGGTAACGAGCAAGCTGAGTAGGGCTATTGGGTAGCTAAGCAGGAGAGACAGCAAGAATGAGACGTAAAAGACGAGGATCAGGTTTGGGCAGAGTCCTTGGCAGTCCTGCCCAGGGCTGATTTTAAGCACAGTGTGAGCACGTGCACACCCCAGCCAGCACAAGCGCGTGCACATGCCTAGGGCCCCCCTTGGACATCTTTGCTYGTGCTTTGCAAGAACCCCCTTGCAATGATCCGGAAAGACTTCCTCTAACACGGTGTTGTTTCTCTCCTGTTACCACAGATTTATGTCTCAATATTCCTGGTTTGAATCATTTTCCTGTAATACGAGATGAGGTAATACCACCTCTTAGTAAAATCATTCCTGTACTACATCAGGCTATATTTCTGCACACTTCAGTAATACGAGTGCTGGGTTTTAGATCACTACCGTATCACTGCAGTGTGTTTTCATAAAGAAAGAAAGGAGGGAGAACTGAGTTATACAACTGTTTGTTTTCCTCTTCTTAGCAACCTTTCCATGTTATCCCGAGAGGTTTTCAGTCAATGCAAGATTAATTTCCCAAATATAAAAGCCCTGTTAACCTGAATATATTACTGAAAAACAGCATATTTCCATCTGCCCTAGTTTTGAAAATCGAGATGCTGGGTCAACTCTTGGCATAAATCTGCAATGCTCCACAGAAGTCAGCAGAGTTTCTTTGATTTACCTCGGTAATAAACCTGGCTGCGGTCAGGCAGCGAGGATGTTCGCAGAGGGGCCCGAAGGACACCCAGGTGGCCGGGGGGGCCTTAGGGACACTCCCCAGGTATGTGAAAAATTCAAACCTGCCAGCGTTGACATTGCAAAATAAGGCATTCTGGGTTTCACTTGGAAAGGTCGAAAGGATTATTATCATTATGAGTACAAACTTGCATTGGAAAGTTTTCTGTTACATTGAAATAGCAATTTAGGGTGTCAGGAAGYGATCCAAGCAGTTTCAGCCGGTCGGTTGTTCCTGACGCCCAGCTTGGCGCAGTGCTGGCGGGATGGGCCCTGGCCAGTGCCACGGGTGCAGTGCATGGGCTGTGAGCAGCCCTGCGCCCTGTCGCCCGGGCCCTCGAGGTGCCTTCCTGACCGGCAGGACCTGCAGCTTGAATTTCCACCCTCTCTCCGCTAGAGGGAATTTTAARCCAGACCTTTCTTAGGATTAAAATACAATTTCTAGCGTGTTAGAAAGCRTTAGCTGCGGCAGGCGGGCTGGGCACCGCCTGGGCTCTGTCTGGATGTGCAGGGACCCTTGCCCTTTTGTAAGACAATATTTTACTCCTGGTCACAGGAGCAAACTATGCTATGAGATGAGTAATGGAAAATTCCCCATTTTCAGGGCTCAGCTTTGGATTTCTCCCCAGCTGCAGGGCATCCTGCCTGCTCCCGCGTTATGGTGCTCCCAGGCTTGGGAATCCGCGTCCCCCTGCTCAAGGGGCCGTGTTCGTGGCCGGCTCTGACCTGCAAGGCCACACTGAGTTTCGAGGCAAGTTTTGAATATCGGGGCCRCCGAGCATTGCTTGTTTGTTGGTGACGTCCCCGGCGAGGACTAGCAGGCTGCCCGCGCGCGATAACCGCCAGTGCGGTGGCTCGGCCTTATCTACATGCAGAACTTGTACCTCAGTGGCCAGGCAAATGAGTTTTAACGGATACAGTTCCAACCTCTCTTTCATTTTAAGAGTAGCTTAGCATGAGGATGGACAGATGACAGCAAACAGTCGAGTTACTGCAGCTTAGCAAATTAYTGCCCTCTAGCCGAGCGTCTTTAATTAACCATGTGCCAGGCCGAGCCCAACACTAATGTGGCAAAATATTTTGCCTTCAAGTACCGTGAGCAGCAATACC